GAAAGAGCTCAAGTCACATTTGTGTTAGTTTGTTTCAGGTCATTAAATTAGCAATCCGTTGGGACAAAAACTAATCCATGAAAAGAAAAAGCATAAACTTTAAGACAAATCAAAAGAAAAAGAAAATGGAAATGAAATATAGAAACAGGAAAACTGGAAATGCCAAAATAACCTCCTCACACAAAAGCATAAACGTTAACAAGATTGGAGAACAGAATCCAATGCCCAAATTCCGAAGCCGGTAAAAAATTTACACAGAGAAACATACCCACCTTCATTATAAGCATTAATAATCATTCTAAGCCAACAAAAATGCTTTCAGGTCCATTAATTTAAGAACTCCACAAAGCGTTAAAGCCTAAAGATACGCATGCGCTCAATTTCAGATAACCTTTTTATCTAGAAAACTTTAACTGTTAGGAGAATTAACAATTACCTTAGTCAAGGATCAAAACCCTGGGTATTGTCCAATTCTTGCAGAAAGTCCAATAAACAAGACTTTCGAGCCAAAGAAATTTAAAATACTCGTTCTTTTCGTTTTGCTTTTCATTTTTCTCTCGTCTGTGGCTCTTTTGACTATGATTCTCCATAAAATCGAGTGTGTTAGCTGGACAGCTTGTTGTCTTCCTCATTTTCACCTGCAATTATTATGAGAAAGATTCTGAGAGATTGTGAGAAAAAGATAAAAATAGTGAGTTCAATCATTGAAGTATTTTTTAACCGTTGGATCAATGTATCAACACAAGGCCGTGTGTATTAATTCAACAATAAATTTCGCAAAAAAAAAATAAATAAATAAAAAATCAACAATAAAAAATTTCAAATAATTTTTTTTCTTTACACTTAATGTCATACTTTAATATTCTATATAAATAAAAATATGATATTTTATAATATAACTATATTTTTTTACAAAATATATGTATATTTAATAATCTAATAATTAGACATCATACTAACAATTTTTGTGTCAACACAAGGGTGTGTCATATTAATTCAACAATAAAAAATTTCGAACAATTTTTTCTTTCTTTACACTTAATGCCATACTTTAATATTCTATATAAATGAAAATATAATATTCTATTTCTATAGTATAACTATTTTTTAACAAAATATATATATATATATAATTATCTAATAAATTAGACATCATACTAACAATTTTTGTGTCTAAACCAAATTGTACCGTTGGATCATCTTTCTGTACACGCTTATTCTTGCCCACATCAATATATAGTTCCTCATTTATACTAAAATTCATCAATCCTTATTTTTTTCTAATGAAAGTTTATACACACACCTCTAATTATAAATCTAACCAGTAGGAAAGTCAATTTAATTTTCATAATTAGTTATATATAGTATAAAGAAAAAGTAAAAATATAGTAATTAATATAAATTACGAGAATTAAAACGAGACTCTTATAAATTGTGAAAAACTTTCTTTGTACATCAAACTCGATATTAGTCCGACTCACTATCTTTATATAATAATATGTTCTCGTTTTTTATTACACGTGGATTAATATGANATTTACAAGGGTAATTGCTGAGTTATTAATATACCCACATTCATGCTTCAGTATGCCTCTTGCTTAGATCATTCGTTAATGTCATAAAATATAATGATACTCTCACTTGAACAGTCTCGTTGAAAATTCTTATTTAGTATACAAATTTTAATTAGAAAAGATATCATAATACAATTCAATGTGATTATAGCAAACCTAATTGAAAAGAGGAGCACAAGACACAATATGTGAAAAATGGTGAGTTCTCAGTTCAATGGTTGGAGTGTTTTTTGACTGTTGAATCAACGTATCCACACACGGCTGTTTATTAATTAATACTATTAAAAAGAATTCAGTAAAGTATGTTGAAATATTTCTGTCAAAAATTTATCACCTAACGCTAGTGGTGATCATGATAGATTTCCAATGATATTCATAAGAACTTTCAAAACGAATTATTCGATCTGATTTAATTAAATATGTAACAAATTGTCATGATAGGAAAATAAGAATTTTATTAATTAGAAATAAAAAAAAAAATCAATCCCGCTACAATAAATAAAAAATAACAAAATAATTACGAAGATGTGGTTTCAAAGTAAACGCAAAGATCCGCGTGTATTTTGTACACCAAATATACATCCTTTTCAGCCACAATCATGACTATATTTGCATTTTTCGCCATGACAAATTGACAACTGAAAATTTCACAAATTTCAAATCAAATTCCTTCACGTTCAAGTCCATATATATAATCGGCCATCATAACTAACAACTTAACAATAAATTCTAAGTCATCAATCAATCACAAATCTTCATTGTCTTCTAAGAATTAGATATGGTCAACTTCCCCCAGCATGCATAGTCCCGATGGTCATTACAATTTTAAACCTATTAGATTTCGCTTTTATTTTTTAATTATGGCTTGTTGTTGACTTATTTCTCCATAAAATATGATGAAATTTCCATTTTGTTAAATAAGTACATATAAAACTACGTTGCTGTAGAAAAAGAAAAACAAAAACTTAAAAATATGAGAAAATCACGTTAATATCTTGAGCTGGAATGCAACAGTATTTCGTGATTGAAAAATGCTTTTCCTTTAATTTAAACTAAACTCACCGTGGTAAATTAATCAGGTGAAAATTTTGAAAGTAATCTTGTAACTATGAAATAAAGTTGAATGAAGTTGTTCGTACATAAATTTTTCTCATGAGTATCAAAGAGATATTGCACTACATGCATTAATTATGGTGTAATCATTTATGTAGCTTGTCCCATATTCATTTAAATTCCATATGAATATTAGAATGGACCTGTGCTTCGACACGGGTAAATAATTTGTGGTTTGTTAAAACATGGGTATAAAATAAAACTATAAATTAGATTTTTTACAATTATGCTATGATTTATAAGAACAATGAAACGAGTAAATTACTAGTAAAGTATATGACTTGCTTAATTACAATAGCAACCTCTTTATGTTCTCAAGTGAGATTGTAAAATTGGCTAAAGACAAAATTAGATGTTATAAAAGAATAACAATGGCCAAACACATATAAATATTATCTATTACTAATATATAATAACAAAATGAAAAAATAAAAAAGAAAATAGTTTTAGAAGATTATTATACTATAATTTAGAACATGGATGGCATTAGCAAGCCAGTTACTGGGATCACTACAGTCCCGTTACAGGATGGTTTCGTCAGTGTTTTTCAATGTTGGATACACATGAAGATTTCTAGATTGTATACCAAACCGTTCAATTGTCACCTCCTGGCTCCACTAATTTTAGGATTTCTATTTTTTTTTTTTTTCCACAACAACAAAAGTATGTAGGTAGATAATTGAATTCTGGTAGGTGTCCTTGTTGTCTATTAAATTGAGCCACCACCACCAACCTTTAAAACTCATCTAATATGAGTGAAGGTTTTTCTATTGAACAAGAGCTTGCTTTCAAATTCTAACAGCTCAATGCATTCGAAGAACATATGTTCCACAGTCTCTTCAGCTTCCCCACACCCCTTGCATTTGACATCTATCTCAATATTTACCTCTTTTGAAGAAACTAACACCAACCGGGAGTATCCCTGTAAAGCATTTCCAGATGAAATGCTTAAGCATTTCCAGATGAAATTCTTAATTCTTAAGCACCTTGCTGACCAGAAGCTCTGGCTAATATGGCTCTCATTGCTCCTCTAGAAGACTCTAATATTTACTCAGCCTTGTTCAATATGGCTCCAGACAAGGCTCCTGGGGAGGACGCCAGGAACAAGATATCTAGCTGGATGAATAAATTCTTTTCCACTGCAAGGAAAGAGGTATTGGTGAAATCTATACTCAATCCTCTTTCAGTATTTGTAATGTCTTTTTTTGTCCACATGTGGGTGTTTGCAAGGAAGTGAGCAGGTTATTTACCAATTTCTAGTGGTGTAAAGGGAATAACCTTTAGCAGGGTTTACACTGAAGAGCTTGGATTATATTAACACTGCCAAAGTAGGATGGAGGGTTGAGGTTCGAGGATATTCAGTTGTTCAACAGAGCTCTGATCATAGAGTTTTGACTGAAATTCTTTTCAGCTTTTTGTTTTTTAAAATAAAAAGAAAGAAAGAGCGAGATAAGGGTGCATCGTCCATTCGTGCTAGAGTAATCCACTTGTCACTTGATGTGTAATGGATAATTAGTCATTAGCAAACTAATGAACACTAATATAATTCAAAACCTAATAGTGTTACAACATTTTCAATAAATAAATAAAAATATTACACAGTGTTAGTTAAAAATATTATATTTAATAAATAATAAAATTAAACTTTTCAAAATTTTAATTTTTTTTTAAAAATTTGCATTATGATTCTTATTTAATTTATATTATAAATATAGATATTATTTATTTTATTCCAACGCCAAATAAAATATCGTCAAAATATAATTAACTTGATATATTTTATATGGTGTATTTTAACTTGATATATTTTATATGAAAACCGAGAACAAATAAAAGAGTTAGTAAATGTTATGTTTTCTATAGTTTAATTGACATACTTTTAAAATTTTAAAACTTCTAATAGATATGGATAAAAATCCGAACGACATACACATACGAAGCAAGAAGTCGACATATATGATTAAGAAGCCGAAATTCGACACATCGACTTGAGAAACTTTACAATTATATCTAGCCGTGGGATATAATCTCAATCTTGGATAAGTATACACCATGTGTATTTATGAATAGCACCTTTTAAGGTCTTTGTAGTGTATTTGCTTCTGCTTTCTTGGCTTGATTCCAGCTTCTTGTGACCGGATTTGGCCAATATACTGGGGTTTTCTCTTGTTGAGAACCTCGGCAAATACTTGGGAGTTCCGCTTTTGTAATTCGGGGATTACCTAATTACGCTACCGTAAGAGCGAAGTGAAGGCAAGGAATTGCTAGACCAACCTACCAAACCAATGATTCCAATAAAGAGGAAAATGGGAGTATCCTAGTGGCCTATGCAATATGATTTGTTCTATGATTATGGGGTGATAAAGTATCAACTAGGATTTAAATATGGGAGTAGGCAATCTGGTAAAAAATGGCAATATCCTACTGGCCTAAGCAATCTAATTCGGCCTATTAGCATATTACTTTTCTAATAATTAACTAAAAACTTTCTTTCATTGTGTGCGTATACATATAAAAAGAATATTAAAAAACCATATTGTTAAATTTTCATAACAAGAATGATAGTACCAAGTGGAAAGTTTCAAATTTTAGTCTTACTTTAGGAGGGATCTAAGAGCTATATTGGTGTGATATTATAATATAGTCTAGTTCAACCATGTGTTAGTTCGGGTTCTATAGCATTTAATATTAAAATTAGTATAATGTTTGACGAAGATTAATTTATAGAATATTTCAATGTAATTGGATGATTTTTTATTTTATTTTAACACAATTACCTTGTAATTATAGATACACATTTTATGAAACCTTGGGTTGTGAAGCAAGCAACAATCCTTTACAAGGTCCATCTTCAGTTTCTAACACTATTTATATGGATCACAATTATAGTTGACAAGCTCATAATCGAGTTCGAACTCAGTTTGTTTATCAATATTAACGAGCTTTAACGAGCTGAACTATAAAAAATTACATAAAAATCATCTTTTTTAGCCTTATTAAGCCGAGCCGAACTCGGCTCGTTAAGCAAACGAGTTTTAAATGAGCTCATGCTAAAAGAACCGAGCTCGAGCCTTAACGAGTCGTGCCACTTATTTAATTTAACAGCTCTAGTTGAACTACTTTCCCAGTTGTATTACATATTCAATCGGATCGTGATTTGGATTAATAATAAAGTTCAGTTGAAAAATCTTGATGAGTCAATTATCCAGACACATCATATATATTTATTTTGATTCTTTGCTTTATTTTTTTAATTAAAATTTTTATACAATTTATATTATTTTATATTGTTAATTGAATAATCATAATATTTTTAAAATAATAATAAAATATTTATGTGTAACCCATTTTTTAAAAATAATGCATTAAATTTGTTTCCTCTTCAATATTTTTTACAAAAATACATTATATATAAAACTAATAATTATTTTTATTATATAAAATAAGGTAACAATTTTCAATCAAGTTTAATAACAATGAACAATAAAATTTCTTATGAAATGAATTACATATATGTATATATATTAAGTTATAGTTTTTATAAAGTAACATGCTAATTTTATTTGAGTATTTCAACATAAATTTGAAATATTTATGTTAATAATCTAAAAGTAGATATTCCCTCTACATATAATTTCTGAATGTGTTGAGCCTAAGTGCAGACTAGCATGCTTCGAGATCTTATGTGACAAATTTTCATGCTTTGTCATGTGACTTGGATGAATTTTACTTTACTCTCAATCCAAAAATAATTAGCTTTGCAATATCCATAAATATACTAGATATTACGGTGCTTTTCAATAGCATCAACATTACATTTTAATTTCTATTCTAGATATAGTTTATAAGTCATAAAACCTTTTTTTCCTCAATCCTTCTTTTTTTTTTCCATATTTCTTTTAAATTATGAAAAATTACTAACTTTAATTATAAGTAGATTTAAAAGTTAATATGTTTTTTTTTTACTTATTATCAATTTTTGTGCATAATATATCAAATTAATCGTGTCTTGATGAGCTTCGATTTGACACCTATATTGTACATAAAATAAATAATTATATTTGTCTTTATAATAAATATTAAATTATTTATTAATATTAATTAAAAAATAAAATTATTTAAATCAACTTAACTATAAAGTTGTTAAAGGGTATAATTCAAAAAATATTATAATGTAAGATGGTAAGTTGTATAGATGATGTGGGTTATTTTAAATATAAATAGTAATCTAGTTATTCGAAAAAGTATTTGAAAATTAAAAAAAAATTATTATTATTTTAACTTTAAATATAATTTTCTTAACGAACACCCGCATAACACACAAGTATTGTACGAGTACATTATAAATTAAAACCTCAGTTATATGACCGGAGCTAAATATAGGGTCATGTGAATTATTTATTTGAGAAAAAAAATATTAATATTTATAAAATTATTTTTTAATAAGAAAAGTAAGTGGTAATTTTTAATTTTTTGATGTACAAAAATTTAAAATCTATGAATTTCAAAATTATAAATATAGCATATAATACAATTTATTCACAGTAAAATGATGAAGAAAAAAAAGTAAATATATATTAAACAAAATTGATTTGGCATAAATAGAATGGGATAATATTTTAGCATATTATATATCACATATCTTACATTAAAAGGAAAAAACTAATACACTGTTTGTCAAAATATTATATTAAGATGAAAATAAAATATATGAAATTAAAATAATAATAATAATAATAATAATAATATAATCAATTGAATAAAATATGGAGTATATAAACACTGTGATGTCATTATGTCATAAGATGGGCAAAAGTAAAATAATTATGGGGTGAGAGAGGCTCGAACTCTCGACCTCAGGATCACTCTTATAGCTATGAGACCTACGCGCTAGCCAACTGCGCCACCACCCCCTTGATGGCATGTGTTTTTTACGTAAATAAAATACCATTAATAATAAGGAAATAAATAATTAATCAAATTAAATATCTTCATTCTTCATCTAGACTATGTTCTGGCTCTAATGGTGCCTTTTAACATTCTAGATGTACTATTTTTGAGTTTTTAATATAATTATCGTCGTTCGAGAAAAATAAAAAATAAAAAAAGTAAAGTTAGCAAGTTACCAATCTACAACGATTACCATTTCAATACATTAATTAACTAACAAATGATAAGAGAATTATCTGTTTCATTGGACTAGGATAATTATCTGATTCATTTGTTATGGGTCGCCTTAAGGCTTGCTTTAAGATTGTTAGGATTTTCCTTTTCCCTCTTTCCACAGACAACTCCATGTAATAGAATAAGAAAGCCATAAAAATCTCTCATCCAAATGCAACCTTATTTGTACCACATTAATTTTTTTTTTATTTTTTTACTATCAAGAAGAAGAAAGTTACATAAAATACATTTCACAGAATAATGAAAAGATGAAATCAAGACATTCTCCCTTCTCTCCATCATCCGTCTTTCGCACATACCTTAAGTCTCAAGAAACTGCAACACAAGAATCTGGGTATGTATTTGATCTGATACGAAGCTGCTGAATAGTGAATAATATAAATTATTAGGTTATCCCATCCGTTTTCTTTTGTAATATCTCAGTCTCAATCTCATCACCTACATCACCATCCACCATTAATTTAGAAGTCTCGGCTGCTTTCTGATCTTTTGATGGTACGTGTTTGGTTTCCAACAATTTACCAGCTTTTGCTATTGCAAGAATGAGCTCAAGCTGTTTTTGCTGTTGCTCCTGCATGATGATGATGATGGTCATGAACTAGAAATCAGTTAACTCTATGTAGTTCGAATTTAGTGTTTTCTATAACAAGTTAACAACAGCACAACAGAATATATCTATTTCATAAATGATTATTTGACTAATGGTTAGTGTTTCCTAAAAGTACATACTGAAGATGCAATTTGTAAAATATAGACAAACACATGCAACTGTACATCCCTATCTAACGCGCTCCAGTTATTTCAAGAATTACATGCAGTAATTGTTTATTTATTCAAAGAAATTCAGTGAAAAGCATGTACCTGCATAGCAAGCAGAACCTTTTGAATTTCACCGAATTCCTTCTCAAGAATGTCTTCTTGGGCTGCCAATGCTCGAGTTACCTCAGAATTTTTCATGGCCAATGCAGCAGTCTGAAAATATTATAAAAGTTTCAGGAGTTAACTTTCCAGATCCTTCAAACACACCCTCCATATTCAGAACACAAAGCAATTTTGTAAAGGTTAATATGAAAAAAAATACCATTCGGGTTTTACCAACCGAAAATCCCTCTTGAAGATAACAATATGCAAAACCGAATAAAATTCCCAGGTACTTATTTTTTACTATGACAGACTGAGTTTTTCTTTCCTTAAATCCTCCCATTCTTTTTCCTCTCGTAATCACGTAATTATCTCTGTTTATTAGTCTGCAAACAGCTCTAGCTAAGTCCTCACCTTTCTCTGGCCAATGGCCAAATACTTTGAATAAACTCATCACTTCTTGAAGATAGTTCAGAGAAATTATCGATGTTACTCATAGCATACGCATTTGTCCTGTGTTAGCCATTCAATCATGAAACACACACTCCTATTAAGGACAACAAATGTATGCAAAACAAGCCTTTACCTCGCTCTTATAGGGCTATAGTTATCCTCTAATATCGTTTTTTCTTGGTCATCAAACTCTACCCTTAACATATACCAAATGAAATGCATTTTGCATCATTGACCATACACACTCATTATTATACTTAAGCTAATTCTGGACGTAACTCTTATTAGAAGGTCAAGGCCGTACATCCATTCATCTATCATCCACCAAATTCGACTTGCAATCTCCAACAGCATCCATTTTTACTAAGAAAATCTCATGAGCTCATCATGCCAAGAAATGGAAAGTAGCTTTTACCATGAGAAGCATTAAAATTATCAAGAAAAAAAGAACAACAGCTCGCAGGTCAATAACTCTTTAGAAGGATTCATTTGAATACATTGCAACAAAAGAACCATAATATGGATCAAAGCTAACATGGATGAAAATCAAGAACCATAATTCCATTCTCCATCACCAAAGCTCCACTTTAACAAGAAGATGGTAAATTATACCCCAAAACACAATCAAATTCTAATGAAAACAAGACGACACCACAAAATTACCTCCGAAATGGGTTCTTTGACAGCTTTCCGAGTGGCCCGGACCCGAATCCCGAGCTTCTCAATCTGCCTCGACAAAACCCTAACAATGGTGGCCGACCCGCGCAAATCCTCCTCCAATTTCTCAACCCTTCCCAACAAATTAGCCCCATGACCATACGCGCCTCTCGAGAACCCAACGTTCCCGCCAATCCTCCTCCACTGCCGCCGTCTTATCACCGCCCCAACAGACGCGCCGCTCACCAAAATCACGCACTGACACAACAGAATCCTCCCGTTCCCCAAAACGCTGCCGTTCAGTGCCCCGCAGCTCAGAGCCACGTAGACGGAAATCGCCGCCGAGGAGGCCAGGCTGAGAAATTCGACAAAGGAGAGAAAACCGTCCAAGTCGAAGCTGTATGCAGAGCTGTTGTTATCATTCGCATTCGCTAGGCTTCTTGAGGGGCCGTACGGCTCGTCGACGGCGGCGTTGATTTTTCTGCAAACAGGGAAAATGTGAGGTTGCGAAAATTTCAGAAGCCTGAAAATTGGGACAGGGGACTTCGGATTTGGAGATGAAAATGGGTACTGTTTTGAGGGTTTTGTGTGATACAAGGTGGGATTCTTGTCCGTGAAGATGGCTTGAGCTGCGAGTGACATTTTGATCTGAATAAAATTGTGGATGAAAAAGGGGGTCAATCATTCTTGTGTGTCTCGAGCTTTCTGGGTTGCAAAAAATTGCATGGTTTCTTGAATGGCGAATGGCAAATTTGCTCGAAACCGAAACTGCAAAATTGCTCGACTCTCTGTGTGAGAGAGTGAGAGGACAATGCGATATGTTCAATGATCAATGCGAATCGGCCCGAAAATAATCTGGACCAGCTCCGAGACATATGGTCAATTGCAAAATTGTATAATTAATTTGTTGTAAAACTATATATACAATAAATAATTTTCTTATGAATAACAATAAAAATAAATAATTTTCATGTGAATTTTATATTATCGCGCTTACTATTTCCCACATAAAATAGAAATATGTACAAATAATTTATAATCTCAAAATTCAATATATATTTAAAATAATAAACTTAATATTTCATATGTAAGTATTATGCAGAGGCGAAGAAATTCGGCGTCAAGTTTATAGACTTTAAGATGGTCAACTCCAAGACCATGTATGTAATCCAAGAATTTCAACTGATCTTGTACAACATCCATGCTGAATGAATGACTTTAATCGAGTTGTTCCAAGTTGCGACTGTGGTTAGAAAAACTTCAAGAACTACCTCAAGCACAGTAGGAAGAAAATGAGTCTTCAAGACCTGGTTGTTCGCCTTCGTATTGAGTACAACCATTAGTCTTTGAGAAAAGCCCCAACAAGTGAAGCTCGTGCTAACTTACTGGAACAAGACAACTCGAACAAGAGAAAGTCTCTTGTGAATAACAAGGGAAAGCAGCCTATATAGGTTTGAAAGTTTACTGCGACAGTTTTGAAAAGTCGAACCAACAAGATATATTTCTTTTTTTTTTTCTGTAATTATTTCTATATATAAAATCTCTAAAACTTCTTTCTGCATAATTATTATGTGAACTAGATGCTTTATTGTTATTTGTTCTAGGTCGTTCTGGTGATAATGGTGGTGTTTTATGAGGTTTTTTTACCAGTCATATTAAATGTGACTTCATCTTCACCTTCACTATCTATTCCATATATTATTCCTTTTTTATCCTCATCATCTATTTTTATCATTCTAGTTTCTTCAATATTACATTTTTCTAATAACTTGGTTAATCTATCTATATCATCCATTAGAATTTGTTGGCAGTTCTTTTTGAATTGGTTTAAATAATTTTTTATGTGTTTTCTCTTTTCGTGCTATATCTCGTAATTCTTTTATTAATTCTTCCATTTTTTCTAATATTTCTAATTGAGTTTTTTTTATTATTTCCATAAGTGTTCCTATTTGTTGTGGGACTCTCGCTTGATCACTCATAATTTTTTAAACATTTTTATACCCTTTTTAATTATACTTACAAGAAAATTAAGTGTGTATGGGTGGTGCCCATACAAATGGGATGAACTCATCCCCCAAACCATTCCCATAAACTTGGAAGTTACTAATGCCCTGCCACATGGATCCCACAAAATACACACCAGGACCAGCTACTTTATATCACACAAGTGACAACACAAGTGACAACACAAGTTTATTGTAGCCCAAGTAGGCCACTTATTTCCAGTCTTGATGTCTATAACACTTTTACACATTTCTTAGACAGCATAAAAACCCCACAAACCACAATGATTTGGGCACACACATTATGATTATACTTAGCCTCCACAAAAAATATATCTAATTATACCTGCCCATCCATTCCCACACAAAACAAACCCATAATGATAGATAATAATAATTTTTGAAGTTCTCGTGCATTATCGACTAATTCGAAACATCTAAATAAAGAACGGGATTGCAGTCCGCGCTTACTTAAGAGATCAAGCGTTGAGAGGACATCCTTTTCTTCCTTAACCTCTCGGCAACAATAAACGCAAGCTCGAGAGATTGCGAAGCATTCAATCTCGGGTCACAATGGGTGTGATAACGTGAGCTGAGATCATCAAATGTCACTGTTCTTGAGCCTCCTATGCATTCGGTCACGTTTTGTCCCGTCATCTCAAGATGAATGCCACCTGGATTGCTGCCTTCTTGCTCGTGCACGTCAAAGAAAGCTCTCACTTCAGCCTACAAGAATAGACGACAAATTGAGGACTTACTGTACTTGTAAAATGTTTGATTGGGCCCAGCCCAAGTGAAGCCCGTTCAAGTTGTGGCCCAGTGCCAGTTTTAGAGACTAAGCTCCAACACTTCAAACCATATATTTCCTATTTTTACATCAAATCAACTTTAATTATTTTATTTTAAATATTATTTTAATATACCCACTAACAACTAACCATACCACCTTTTTCAAAATTAATCAAACCAAATCAAAAAATCCAAACAAATCTAAATTTTTTTTATATCCAAGCATCTGAATCTTATTCCTAGGAATTTGGAAACATAGAATGTGGTCCGTATGATAAAATGACAACAAGCAACAAATCAAGCTTTCAGGCAATGAAAATGATGCCATTTTGAAAGGCTTGATAAATAATAATTGAACCATGTGACAGACAATACAGTACAATGATTCACTAAGAAAGCAACAAAACTGGAATAATGTGTGCGAACCTACTTCCTCGTGCACCTAACTCGAAACCTTTTGCAGCCATTAGATTGCATTTAGTTTCATTACATTCATTTATTCCAAAAGGACAATTCAGGACCATGTCCATACCGCTGAAATTATTCAATTTCGATATTCTAATCACATGAACTTCACATGTGTTTTTATTTTCAAAAGTTTGGGTGCAAGAAAGAATATATCATTCATCACTACTAAGTGATGTGATAAAACAAAAGATGCAACACGAAACTATAACCCAGACCTCCAAATTAAAAACTTAGCCTGGAACGGCTTTTTAAATGATCATAACATAAAACGAGTTTAGCAAATTAATTAAAAACCAAATCATCATAAGAGGAGAGAAAGGAAGCATGCATACCAAGATTGCATCAAAAGCACGAGTTTTGAGTCCACAAGGCGCTTTGATCGTGTTTCCATGCATAGGATCACACACCCAAGTCACAATTTGGCCAGCTCTACGAACAGCCCTTATCAAATGAGGAAGCTTAACTCTCATGTTCTCAGCACCCATTCTAACTATGACCGTGATTCTCCCAGGCTTGTTAGTAGGATTCAAGATGTCAATCAGTTTTGTGAGTTCATTAGGGTCCATCTTTTGGCTCACCTGCAGAAAAATAGAAAACAATAATTAGTCCATCTTCGGACAACCCATGGTTTTAATTTTGCATGTAAAGATAATTTTCTCATAACTAGCCCGTTTCATTTTTTCGCGAAAGAACAATTGAGATTTACTTTTTCTCAGAGTTTGTAAACAGTAAACAACCCCATATGGTGATGAATAATTAATTCGGAACAAAATTCATTTATGCTATTACTCTAAATTTAAAGGATTATTTTGGGCGTGCTTGTTTATAGAAAAACTAGAAAAAAAGAATTATCTCAATTCAAAATCCGACTCAACTTTAACTCAACCTCACTATCCTCAATATTGTCAATATAATTAAATAATATCATTCAATCATTCTTATACACCACATCAACTTTAATTCATTATCCATCTACTCACATAATATTAACTACCTATCATTTCCAATCATTGTCAATCATTTATCTCTTACTTTTGCATCAAATCAATATTAATTATTTATTTTAAATATTATTTTAATACATTCTTAAAATCCCACTAACAACTAACCATACTAATTTTTTTTCGAATAAACTCCAGTTAACACAAAAAATCAGAAAAAACAAAACTAGTTTTTTTCTAGTTATTTTATAAACAAGCACGTTCTCCTGGCACAATTCAATGAGTGCAATCG